CTTCCACACCAAGTAAATAAATGGCTTCAATAGTCTCACTTCCACCTGCGAACTTCAGTCTCTCACGGAACAGGTTTGTAGTGTCTTCCTCACCAACAACATTAACAACTTCAAAAGCTATTTCAGTCACTGCCTCTTATATATACTGGGAAGAAACATCTGAGCTCCAAAACCCTTCTTCCCTGACTCTGCTAAGTACTATGGAAAAGACACTTGAGATGATGGTTTCTTTAACAATAGCCATTTACAAGTTTTTACTGCATTCAAATTCCAACAGGGTGGGAGAAGGTAAGAAGCCAAGGCAAGATTATATAGTTTTTTATATTCCATGAACAACATATATTGCTGAAATGCAACAATGTGCACATTTAGATCTATGTGAAACTGTCTTGGGTTTGTGTGTGTAGAGGGGGTTTTTGGTTGTGGGAAGGGGGCTACAGCAGTGGCCCCTATGAGAAGCTTCTTGACCCTCCCCTGGCTCCAAGTTGGACCCACCTCTGCACCACGGCAGAGCCAATTAGTTGCACCTCTGTTAAAAAGGGGAACCTGGGAGGAAGAGTTGGACTTGTAAGGGAGACACCTATGCAAACACCAAGGTTGAGGAGGGGGAAGGTTCACCAGAGCAGACTCCCCTGCAGCCTGTGGTGGGAGGGCAGGCTGCCCCCTGCAGCCCATGGAGGTCACCAGTGGAGCAGATGCCCACCTGCAGCCCAGAGAGGACCCCACGCCAGAGCAGGTTTCTGCACCCAAAGAAGGCTGTGACTCTGTGGGAAGCCCCCACTGTTGTAGTTTAGCACTGGTAGGACAACAGTGTGTGGGAGAGACCCACACTAGAGCAGCTGAGGAAGAGCTGAAGCCCATGGGAAGGACTCATTGTCAGAAAAAGTTCGTGGAGGACTGTCTCCCGTGAGAGGGACCCCACACTGAAACAGGGCAAGAGTACAAGGAATCCTCCCCCTGAGGAGGAAGGAGTGGTAGAAACATCTGATGGACTGACCACACACCCCATTCCCTGCCCGACCCCTAAGCCCCTCGCCACTGGAGGGGGGTAGAGAAAACAAGAACAAAGCTGAGCCCAGGGAAAAGGGAAGGGTGGGGACAGAAGATGTTTTTAAGATGTGTTGTACTTTTCACTGACCTACTCTGTTAAGTGTTGCTGGTTTTAGTGTTTTAATTAAATAGATGTTCTTTTTCTTCCCCTAAGAAGAAAAAGGTCAAGTCACCTTATTCTGTCTTTTGCCGGTGACCATAATGGGTGAGTCAACCCTTCCCATCCTTATCTCTATTCCCAAGCCTTTTGCTTTATTTTCTCCTTCCCATTCCTGACAGGAAAGGAGTGAGTGAGGGGCTGCATGAATTTTGGCTGCCAGCCTGATTTAAACCATGACAGAAATGCAAGTCAGTATTTATACCTCTACTGTTTCCAGACAACCTGAAGTTCTCTGGCAAGTTTTCAATCTTAAATAAACTTCAGTGTATTTTTATGGCTCTTTTTCCAGCATTGTAACTGAAAGCCAGAAACGCCACAATGACTATAGCTTCATCATATAGAAAAATCTGCTCTGGTAGGTCAAGATGCCAAGAATTTGTCTATTATAGTATCTCCCTCACTTTCATGAATGAAATTGAGAACTTATGTTCTCATCAAGAAGTGCTATATAGGTTTTCCAATTAGGACAGACAGAGTATGCTGCCAGAAGACAGATTGTCTTGTCTTGCATTTCTGAATTTTAGAGTAACTCCATACAATGCATTGCAATTTATGAGTTTAATCACAGTTAACATATAACAAGACAGATAAAACATTAGATGGGAATAGTCTATGGTGAAGCAAGGTTAAGATATGATTTATTCCAGCATAAGGAAATATTTTTGTCCCTCCAAGAAACTCCTTCCAGGCAATGATCTAACTTCTTCAACAAAGCAAGAGACATCACCACAGGTTTCTATTTTCAGTAGGCTTCTCTGGCAACTACAGACTAGGTTATTTGCACCACAGTAAAGAACTATGCATAAACTATTCCCTTTCCTCAGGAAGTTCTGCCTCCATCTACAGAATGACTTCTCTGGCCAATAGACAAGTCATTCAGCTCTGCAGAAATGTGGATCCACAAAGTCCAGGATGCCCTCACAGACCTGACCAAGTTACAAAGTAATACTATCTTGCTCACTCTTCAGTGCCACATGTGAATGGTAGGTCCTCCTGGCAGTAAGAGCTAAAAACTAGAAAATAGTCTGTTCAAACCAGTAGTGCTTTCCCTGGGTTTACAAGGAAAAAAATAGTAATACAAAGTACTACATTAATCACATTAGGTTTTCATCAGTAGTTCCAGGGTATTTTAACCCTTAATAATAGGAGTGTGAAGTACTGCCCACTTAACGTCCTACATTTGTGTTTGAAGATCATTCAACAGCAAGTTACAATATATCACAGACTACACTAAGTGGATATGGACACTCCTATAGAACTGCAAAATAACGGCTCTAGCTCAAGATGTTAGCTGAAGCTGTTCTCTAGTGCAAGCTAAGAACATGAAGTTACTGAAATTCAGCCCATAAACGGTGACTCAGGTTTCTGTATCCTCATAACCTCAAATACCTCCCGTTTTAAAAAGGAGGTCATTTAGCCAGTCTTTTGGTATCCATCACTTGCAAGGTCCACATATTTCTAGAATTTCCCAGAGAGACTACAGTAAGCAGTACTCAGTAGCAAAATCACAACTCTACCAGGAGACTTCACAGATTTAGTCATATGGAGTGCCAAACAGATAAAACAGGAGAAGAGTTTGGACTAGATAATGTTTTTTTCAACACACGCTGGAATACATGTTTTCACCTCAGTATACTGCTTTCTATTTACCTCACAATTAACTGAGATGTCCTTTTTTATTCTTTTTTTTATTTTACCAGAACCCTGAGAGAGCTAAAGTTGTTTACAGTCTCCTTTGCTTATGTCTCTCAACATAGAGTTTTACTTGTGCAAGACCAATCTTTCCTCCTGACCTTTTTTCTACTTACTAGCACCATGGGATCAGAAAAGCAATCCGTAACCGTCAACGAAACGTCAGAATTAATTACGGTAACTGCAAGAAAATGGACATAAGTGGTGAGTGACACTATAAAAACGAACTCTCTAACTTTTCACTGAACACGATCCCACCTGTCTCCTAAACTGGATAAAGTACTAAACTCACAAATGCTGCTCATGTAGACAATTTCAGCTATAGTATTCTGCTTTCTTAAGCAAGACATATGTTAACTAAAATATTCAAGCTAATTGGTTTGGCCACTGACAGACTGTAGAAAAGCACAACTCATTACGGGCTCATCTTTCTTGCTTCTGGGGTAAACCTTGTGTCCCACATCAAGCTCTGCACTAAAAGAAGAGGTGTGCAGGCACTGCACAAAGCTAAACAGGTTACACAGCTTCAATACTGATGTTCCTTGATGTGGTCCCTTCAGAGAAACATGAAATTGTCCATAATGGACTTGACAAACCCATCCTCACAATGCTCACTCTTACCAATCTGTAGAACAGAAAAATTGACTAATTTGCTACTCGGTTTGCTATCTAAGCTTAGCATCTAGCCACTAATGCTTACGTCCTGGTCACATTTAAATTTCTATTTCTTACTCCTTTCCCCTTATTTGTAAAGGCACACTTCACCTGAGGCAGCAATCTCACTGACTTGTGCTACTCAGTTTAGGTGAATGTTGCAACACTCATCTGTTATAAGCAGCTGCATCTTAAGAGCCACGCTCCCAGAAATACACCCTACATCCAACACCTTTCTTGTCAGGTAATAGCTCTGCCTCGCTTAACTCAAGCATGGAGTACACCTCATAGTTCGTGCCAGGCAGATTGAAAGGTTACACCCTTCAGCAACAAAGATACAGCCTGAGGCAATCTATTCGGATCAAAACCTACCGGGCACTGGAGGGGAGGGAAGTACCCCCTCACAGAAAGCGTTCAGCCAGTCACCCCGGTAATACCGGGCCTCAATCTGGATGAAATGCCTCTTCGGACTGACAGCAGCCGCCCCGACCCCACCCGTGACACACCGGTCCCCGCGCCGAGGTGGACCAGGGCGCACAAGTCGTGCCCGCGCAAACGAACCCCGCGACACGCCGCCCCGCCCACGACCCCCCCTCCACCACCACCCCGGCCCGTCACACCGTCCCCACACACACACACCCACGCACCCCCGTGGGGAGGTGGGAGGGGTTCGCAGCCGCCGGGCCCCAAAAACCGTTACTCCGCCGGACGCCGGGGAAGGGGTGCGCCGTACCGACCCCGCAGCGGGTACTGACGGGACACGGCACTTCGCGCCGCCTTTCACACACCCCCCCACACCCACCCACGCCGCCACGTGGGGGCCGCGGGGGCGGCGTTCCGCCGTGGAAACCGCCCGCGGTACCCCCGCGCCACGGCACTGCTCCCCCCTCTCCCCCCCCCCCCCCCCGCCCGGCCGAGCGGTGGGAAACGGGGCGAAACAGGAGCCGTGCGCTCCGCCGGCGGGGCCTGGGGGGAGGAGAGCAGCGGCGAGCGGGGTGGGGGGACACACACCCCCACCCGCTTCCTCCCCCTCGCAGCCCTCTGGAGGGCCGCCCTGTCACTTCGGTACGATAAAGGCAGGGGCTGGGGGAGGAGCCTCCCGCGGTTCAGGTGGGAAAACAAACACACAAAGGGGCCTCTCCAGCACCCGGTCGCCCTCGGGGAAAAGAAAGAGGGGCAGGAGGGCGCTGGGTCCCGGAGCCTCTCGTCAGGCCAGACGTCTCGGCTCCCTCTTGCCTCCCACCTCCCTCTAGGCCCGACGGGACGGGAGTAAACAAAAGCCGGAGCCAGAGGGACGACACATGGGTGGGGATGGGGACCTCCGCGCCGGGCCACACAAAGAGCCGAGCCCGAGTGGGGACGCGCGGCGGGGGGAGAAGGGGAAAGCTCCTCCCCCCCGGCCCCCTCCACCCCTGCCACCCAGGTCGGGGCGTTTCCGCCTCACCTGCTTGCCCCGGTAGAAGAGGCGCTGGCGGTCGGGGCTCACGCGGAAGGTCTCCTGTATCTTCTCCCGCAGGCACTCGATCTTGGTCAGGCGGCTCAGGTCGTCGATGGTCTGCGTCTGGGTGCCGTCTATGGTGCGGACTTGGATCCACATGGTGCGCGCGCTCCCCCTGGCTCAGCCAGCCAGCCGCGGGGACGGGAGGGGGGTCTGGGACCGGCGGTGGAACAGGGGTCGGCTCCCGCCGCGGGCGCGTCCGCGGCGCGAGAGGGAAGAAGGGGGGTGGGCCGGAGCGCTCTCCCCGCTCTTTGTTCGACTCAGTGGGGCAGGATTTTCAAATCCCGCGGAACAGGCGCGAGCCTCCCCGCCCGCCGGGCCGCCGTCCCCGCTCAGGGGGGGAGCGGAGAGGGAAGGGGACTCGGAGCCGATCGCCCTGCCGCTGCCCGATCGCCCGCGCCGCGGACCCCCCCGCGGCAGCGCACAGGCGAGGCGGAGCCTGGCGGGAACCGCCGCGGCCAGGTCTAACGGGCGCCGCCGGGAGCCATCTCCCGACCCCGGGGAGTGTTTACCAGGCGCCGCCGCTCTCACATGGAGGTCACGGCGCCAACGCTGCTCTCGCGAGAGCCCCCGGCCTCGGCCGTAAAGAGGCAACAACACCGGGGCGGGGGCGGAGGGGGAGCGAGGCGGGAGCGAGGCGAGCGGGCCGTGCCACGCCCCCCTCCCGCTGCGCTCTGGCCGGCAGCCCTCGCGCCGCAGTGGGCCACGGCGCACGGCCCCGCCCACGCAGCCCACTCCCCCCGCCCCCCCCGCCGGGCACGCCCCCCACCCCCCGCCGGACACGCCCCCCCCGCCGACGCCTCCGCGCCCGCCCCGACCGGCGGTGGGCGCGAGGCCGGCGGGGAGGGGAGGGCCGTTTGGCGCGCGCGCGCTGTGGGAGCGGCCGTTACCGTCTCTATGGCGGCCCGGCGGCCCGCAGCCCCAAGCCCCGCTCGCGGCCCGCGGCGGGCTTCCCCGGCCGCCGGGCCTGCGGCCTAGACCGGCCTCGGCATGGCTGAGCATCCCTAGGCAGCCGAGAGAACCGTGCCTGCCAGCGAAACCCAGGCGCCGGTCTTTCCAGAGGCACAGTGTCTCGACCCAGCCAGACTTGGCCTTACCTAAAAAATACAAATCAAGTCTAGCTGCGCCTGTTGTGTTCGTTGGAGACATGGGGCGAAAGCCTCACTTATGCTTCAAATCCGGTGTGCGTGTGGCTTGTATTTTTCTAGATTCGGTAATTCTGCAAATTGACGTCAGTAAAAACATGGATTTGCCATGCTGTTGCGGGCTAGCTGCGCTAGGGAGCTGAGCCCTGCACAGGCACTCGGACACTCCCTCACAGTAGGGTAGGGAAAAGAACCAGAAGGGCGAAAGTGAGAAAATGGGGATCGGGGTAAAGGTGGTTTAACAGGTAAAACAAAAACTGAGCAAGCAAAGCAAAATAAGGAACTCATTCAGTACTTTTCCAGGAAACCAGAGCTCCATGATGTGTGAATGTTGTGGGGGACCTCAGCTGGACTGAGGCCCTGGGAAGCAACGACTTCAACCTTGAGAGGCTTCCAATCTACCCCTGAGAGATCAAACAAGAACAAGAGGAGCTGCAAGATGAGCAAGCTTATCGACCACAGTAAGAGAGCATAACAACTCTGAACCAGTAAGAAGAGAGACACAGCAGAAGAACTGATAACCCTGTACTTGGAGCTAGCTTTAGGTGGATAGAGAAACCGGAAAGCTTGGGAGCCTGAACTTTTGAACTTTTCATCTTACTACACTTGCGTGATGAGCTTATGCATATTAACTTATCCACCCTGGCAAGAGCCAGGGTTCATTTCCATGAACGTGCGATGTATGAACACATACATGAAGGGGCGTGTCGGTAGGCAGTCCGGAAAGTCTGTGCACCCTGTAGTAAAAGTATAAAGGAACAAAGGAGGAGAGCAATAATGGATTTTTCCTTTTGGCTTTTAGCTTTTTGTGTTAACTTGCTTTAAAGAAGAATCTGTCTTGTAGTTTTGTCCATCTTGACTGCGACAAATGTTGCTTAGGAAGACAAGTGCCATAACTCCTAACCTCCCACCCTTCTTCCTTCTTCCCCCAGCTTTTATTGCTGAGCACATCGTATGGTCTGGGATATCACTGGGATCAGCCATCCTGGCTGGGTCATTTCACAGCATCTTGCACAGTCCCAGCCTACTCACCAGTGGGGCAGTATGAAAAACTGAAATATCCTTGATCACATGTAAGCACTGTTCAGCAACAGCTAAAATGTCCCTGTGTTCAACACATTTTGGGTCACAAATCCAAAACAGCACCATACCAGCTGCTATGAAGAAATTTCACTCTGTCCCAGCCCAAACCAGTGCACATGAATACTGGTAAATTACTATTAAAATGTATCTGATACAGGGCTCACTATAAACCAGGAGAAACAGTAAGGGATACCTTTGGGAGGAGTTCTGAGCAGCTTTATTGACTAAGACTTTAAATTAAAATACAGATTTACAAGATCTAGATGACACCTATGTATATTTATGGCTTTTTTGTAGCAAGAGTCGTAAATATCACTGATAGGGTGTTGAGTTGGGGAAAAAACAGATCACAACCAACAGTTACTAGAACACTGTTTATTAATTAGGCTGTTATTAATTGCAGCTAACTGTTTGCATCGTACACGCAGTGCAGCAGCAGCGGAGACACCAACTCCAGTGGTTCACTCAGGATCGTGGGCTGGTACCCACACCCCAGGTGTTTCCAGGCAGCTGTGCACGCTCGCACACGGGGTCCCTCGCTTCAGCGGGTGTGCTTACACACACTGCCCTGTAGCCCTTGTCCACCTGTAGCAGCCGCTGCCGCCTTGGATGTGGTGTGGGTTACGTGACCTGCCGAGGGTGCCAGTGGGTGCTGGAGGCTTTTGGCAGGTTCAGCAGCTCCTCAGTCTTGAGAGCTTACCAATTTTTGATCCAAAGTCACAAAGAGTTCTTTGGAGGCTTTCAGATGCTGTCTGCCAGCATGTATTTTTCCTCTCTTTGTCCTGCTGTTGTCTGGTAACTATTTCTCCATCTTTACCATGAGGCACCTACAGACACCACTTGCACAAACACAGCTTTTATGACAGAGTATGGTAGCAAAGATTCCTGTATTTTGCTTTCAGGTTTGAGAATTCCCACTGCAGTTCTGAATTAATTACTTACGGCTTTATTTTGGGGTATCGAGCATGTGCAAAGGCAGCTGAACAATTACAAGTTTTTTAGTTATTCTGCAAATCTGTTCCTTTCCTCTTCCTCCTTGCTAATCAATCTCTGCTCTTGTGATAGCACACAACCATCTTTACTGCCACTGTTGCAATATGTCACCGAATTGCCATTTACACAAATTCAGAGTTTGGTTTTCAGTTTGTTGGTGGTAACACAAAGTCTGTAGTGCACATGACCTTTCACAATCTTTCGGCCCCAGCCTTCTTGGGTTCACTGAAACATTCAATAATTATTTAACACAGAGAAGTACAGTAAGAATGTGGTTTAATAGTCCTATCTGAAAAAAGAGATGAATCAAGCTGTCTTCAGCTTTATCTTAGTTACACTCCACCTCTACACTAAAAGGAACAGAATCTCATTATAATCCAAGTACAGCCTTCCTGTTGAATCAAGCAGTAAAATGTGTGTGTCTTTTGCAATGGGGAAAAAAGATATGAAAGAATTCTGAAATGGGATATGTTTTAACACATGAGGGAGAAATGGAAAGTGCAGGATGGACTTGCTAGAACAGAAGACATTTTTTTGATATGGAGAAAGAAAATGACAGAGGATCTGTTTGTTACAACACTGTATCTGGAAATATTTTGTCTAGATGGGATTGTAAAGAAAATCAGACCAGGTTGCTGGCACAGGAGTTACTGATGAGAAAGAGCACTTTGCTATGGAGTGATTACAGGTGCCCTGTTTCATAATGCGCAGCATAGACTGGAGACTAGAATAGAAAGTGAAAGAAAAGTGTGTAAAAATTTTCAGCTAGGAGTCTGAAAGAGGATGTGAAGAGGGGCAGTTATTGAGTAGGTTAGAGGATAAGAAAGCTAGTTATTTAGAAAGCAGTAATGTCCTCTTTGGGGTATTGTTTTGCTGATGAGGAAATTAGGTAATGCTAAAGGAGAAACTGAGCAGCATAGTATGTATGATGGACTGGGTTGACATAGCAGAATTACTAGAATGAGCAGGACAGAGGGAAAAGGAGTCAAGATTATGGAAGTAAAACATGGGAGCAGTGAAGAAAGTGCAAAGATCTAATTGAAGACAAAACCTGAAATTAGTGACAAAAAAGCATAAAGGTGCATAGAAAAGGAAAAATTGAGATTACATTTTAGGAGATCAGACAATGCTAGTTTTCTTAGAGGAAAACTATAGAACAAGAATGAGAAATGAAATGAAAATTAAATTCAGAATGACATAACAGTAAGCATGAGTTTGTTTTGAAGTTAAGAGATCTTTTTATGATGTTTGAAAGCAAACGATGCAAATTGGGGGTTTCATGTGATAAAATAGTCAAAAGTTTAAAATTATGGGGTGAAATATGGGAGCTATTAGAATAGGGCCTTTGCGTGTGTTGGCATTTTCATAATTTTTCATGGATAGGTAGCTTTAGCATGTAAATAAAGATCATTACTTGCTTGAGATTATGTTTGTTCTGGTATTTGAAATTCCGTCTGAATTCTTAAAAATTCTGGAGATTGTCTTACATATTTTAGGTTTGTCTGTAGGTGACCTCTTGATTGAATGGCTTTAATGTGGATCAAGTCATGGGGATAGACAGAAGAAACCAGAGATGAGCTTGACAAAGAGACAGATGTGTAAGACACATAAGGAGTGGGTGGAAGAATGGAAGCATAATGCGTAGTGACGGAAGCAGAAAGAAGCCAACAAAACAGGGAAACGTGTGCTACTGAGTTTCAAGGAGGAGCTGTGCAAGAGTAGCAGCAAGCCAGGATGGAAAAGACAGGAACCCTTTCTACAGGCTTACTTTTCTAGTGAGCCTCTTAATAACTTGTAGGCAGTGTTAGAATCTGTATGGATGTTTCATTACTGTTCTGCTCAGATGTGATGATGAGCCTTCCAGGGAAGAGGAAGAGAAGAAGGAAATTTAAATTGTCCATCAACTGAACTTAGTAGAAAAGTGTTGCTTAACTCCCATGAAATCAATGTGACTATTCCAGCTTAAACATGTTGGGAGAGAAAAACAGGCTGGCTGACATAATTAACCTTATTTAGAGTTCATGATGAGAAGAATTATTTTGAAACATATGATGAAACAGGCGACCTATAATCGGTCCATAGTCTATTTTTATTTACACTGAGAAAAGTCCCAGTCCTGAGGACCATACAGCCTAGAGCAGATGCTGCCTGTTTCTCTAATACATTGTACCTGTTCATGGAGTGACGTACTTAGAGCTCAGTGAAGCAAAGTGAGCCTTAAATTATACTTTACTTAATGTGTATTTATATAATTTTATACAATATCTACTGTGAAAAATATAAAAAGAAGTAAATATAAGGATACTGTATCATTCTAATAATCCCCAGCCAAAGCTAAATCAAAAGTCCACATTGTTTCCTCAT